CCTCTGTCTCTGTCTCTGTCTCTGCCTCTGCCTCTGTCTCTGTCTCTGTCTCTGTCTCTGTCTCTGTCTCTGCCTCTGCCACTGCCACTGCCTCTGTCTCTGTCTCTCTGCCTCTGCCTCTGTCTCTGCCTCTGCCTCTGCCTCTGTCTCTGCCTCTGTCTCTGTCTCTGTCTCTGTCTCTCTGCCTCTGCCTCTGCCTCTGTCTCTGTCTCTGTCTCTCTGTCTCTGTCTCTGCCACTGCCTCTGTCTCTGTCTCTCTGCCTCTGCCTCTGTCTCTGCCTCTGCCTCTGCCTCTGCCTCTGCCTCTGCCTCTGCCTCTGCCTCTGTCTCTGTCTCTGTCTCTGTCTCTGTCTCTGTCTCTGTCTCTGCCTCTGCCTCTGCCTCTGCCTCTGTCTCTGCCTCTGTCTCTGCCTCTGTCTCTGTCTCTGCCTCTGTCTCTGCCTCTGTCTCTGTCTCTGTCTCTCTGTCTCTGTCTCTGCCTCTGCCACTGCCTCTGCCTCTGCCTCTGCCTCTGCCTCTGCCTCTGTCTCTGTCTCTGTTCTCTGCCTCTGCCTCTGTCTCTGTCTCTGTCTCTGTCTCTGTCTCTGCCTCTGCCTCTGCCTCTGTCTCTGCTCTGCCTCTGCTCTGCCTCTGCCTCTGTCTCTGTCTCTGCCTCTGCCTCTGTCTCTGCCTCTGCCTCTGCCTCTGCCTCTGCCTCTGCCTCTGCCTCTGCTCTGTCTCTGTCTCTGTCTCTGTCTCTGCTCTCTGCCTCTGCCTCTGCCTCTGCCTCTGCCTCTGCCTCTGTCTCTCTGTCTCTGTCTCGTCTCTGTCTCTGTCTCTGCCTCTGCCTCTGCCTCTGCCTCTGCCTCTGTCTCTGTCTCTGTCTCTGTCTCTGTCTCTGTCTCTCTGCCTCTGCCTCTGCCTCTGTCTCTGTCTCTGTCTCTGCCTCTGCCTCTGCCTCTGTCTCTGCCTCTGCCTCTGCCTCTGTCTCTGCCTCTGTCTCTGTCTCTGTCTCTGTCTCTGCCTCTGCCTCTGCCACTGCCTCTGTCTCTGTCTCTGCCTCTGCCTCTGCCTCTGCCTCTGCCTCTGCCTCTGCCTCTGCCTCTGTCTCTGTCTCTGTCTCTGCCTCTGCCTCTGCCTCTGCCTCTGCCTCTGCCTCTGCCTCTGCCTCTGCCTCTGCTCTGCCTCTGCCTCTGTCTCTGTCTCTGCCTCTGCCTCTGTCTCTGCCTCTGTCTCTGCCTCTGTCTCTGTCTCTGCCTCTGCCTCTCCTCTGCCTCTGCCTCTGCCTCTGCCTCTGCCTCTGTCTCTGTCTCTGTCTGTCTCTGCCTCTGCCTCTGCCTCTGCCTCTGCCTCTGCCTCTGCCTCTGCCTCTGCTCTCTGCCTCTGCTCTGCCTCTGCTCTGCCTCTGCTCTGTCTCTGTCTCTGTCTCTGTCTCTGTCTCTGTCTCTGCCTCTGCCTCTGTCTCTGTCTCTGTCTCTGCTCTGTCTCTGCCTCTGTCTCTGCTCTGCCTCTGCCTCTGCCTCTGCTCTGCCTCTGCTCTGCCTCTGCCTCTGCTCTGCCTCTGCCTCTGCCTCTGCCTCTGCCTCTGCCTCTGTCTCTGTCTCTGTCTCTGTCTCTGTCTCTGTCTCTGTCTCTGTCTCTGCCTCTCTCCTGCCTCTGTCTCTGTCTCTGCCTCTGCCTCTGCTCTGTCTCTGTCTCTGTCTCTGCCTCTGCCTCTGTCTCTGTCTCTGTCTCTGCCTCTGCCTCTGTCTCTGTCTCTGTCTCTGTCTCTGCCTCTGCCTCTGCCTCTGTCTCTGTCTCTGTCTCTGCCTCTGCCACTGTCTCTGTCTCTGTCTCTGCCTCTGTCTCTGTCTCTGTCTCTGCCTCTGCCTCTGTCTCTGTCTCTGTCTCTGCCTCTGCCTCTGCCTCTGCCTCTGCCTGCTCTGCCTCTGCCTCTGCCTCTGCCTCTGCCTCTGCCTCTGTCTCTGTCTCTGTCTCTGTCTCGGTCTCTGTCTCTGTCTCTGTCTCTGTCTCTGCTCTGCCTCTGCCTCTGTCTCTGCCTCTGTCTCTGCCTCTGCCTCTGTCTCTGTCTCTGCCTCTGCCTCTGCCTCTGCCTCTGTCTCTGCCTCTGCCTCTGTCTCTGTCTCTGCCTCTGCCTCTGTCTCTGTCTCTGCCTCTGTCTCTGCCTCTGCCTCTGTCTCTGCCTCTGTCTCTGTCTCTGTCTCTGTCTCTGCCTCTGCCTCTGCCTCTGCTCTGTCTCTGTCTGTCTCTGTCTCTGCCTCTGCCTCTGTCTCTGTCTCTGTCTCTGCCTCTGCCTCTGCCTCTGCCTCTGCCTCTGCCTCTGCTCTGTCTCTGTCTCTGCCTCTGCCTCTCTGCCTCTGCCTCTGCCTCTGCCTCTGTCTCTGTCTCTGTCTCTGCCTCTGCCTCTGCCTCTGCCTCTGTCTCTGCCTCTGCCTCTGCCTCTGCCTCTGCCTCTGCCTCTGCCTCTGCCTCTGTCTCTGTCTCTGTCTCTGTCTCTGCCTCTGCCTCTGCCTCTGCCTCTGCCTCTGCCTCTGCCTCTGCCTCTGTCTCTGTCTCTGCTCTGCCTCTGCTCTGCTCTGTCTCTGCCTCTGTCTCTGTCTCTGCCTCTGCCTCTGCCTCTGCCTCTGCCTCTGCCTCTGCCTCTGTCTCTGTCTCTGCCTCTGCTCTGCCTCTGCCTCTGCCTCTGCCTCTGCCTCTGCCTCTGCCTCTGCCTCTGCCTCTGCCTCTGCCTCTGCCTCTGCCTCTGCCTCTGCCTCTGCTCTGCCTCTGCTCTGCCTCTGTCTCTGTCTCTGCTCTGCCTCTGCCTCTGTCCTCTGCCTCTGTCTCTGCCTCTGCCTCTGCTCTGTCTCTGTCTCTGTCTCTGCTCTGCCTCTGCTCTGCCTCTGTCTCTGCCTCTGCCTCTGCCTCTCTGTCTCTGCCTCTGCCTCTGCCTCTGCCTCTGTCCTCTGCCTCTGCCTCTGCCTCTGCCTCTGCCTCTGCCTCTGTCTCTGTCTCTGTCTCTGCCTGTCTGCCTCTGCCTCTGTCTCTGCCTCTGCCTCTGCCTCTGCCTCTGTCTCTGCCTCTGTCTCTGTCTCTGTCTCTGCCTCTGCCTCTGTCTCTGCCTCTGTCTCTGTCTCTGTCTCTGCCTCTGCCTCTGTCTCTGTCTCTGTCTCTGCCTCTGCCTCTGTCTCTGTCTCTGCCTCTGCCTCTGTCTCTGTCTCTGTCTCTGCCTCTGCCTCTGTCTCTGTCTCTGCCTCTGCCTCTGCCTCTGTCTCTGCCTCTGCCTCTGCCTCTGTCTCTGTCTCTGCCTCTGTCTCTGTCTCTGCCTCTGTCTCTGTCTCTGCCTCTGCCTCTGCCTCTGTCTCTGTCTCTGTCTCTGCCTCTGCCTCTGTCTCTGTCTCTGTCTCTGCCTCTGCCTCTGTCTCTGTCTCTGCCTCTGCTCTGCCTCTGCCTCTGTCTCTGTCTCTGTCCTCTGCCTCTGCCTCTGCCTCTGCCTCTGCCTCTGCTCTGCTCTGTCTCTGTCTCTGTCTCTGTCTCTGCCTCTGCCTCTGCCTCTGCCTCTGCCTCTGCCTCTGCCTCTGCCTCTGCCTCTGCCTCTGTGCTCTGTCTCTCCTCTGTCTCTGTCTCTGTCTCTGCTCTGCTCTGCTGTCTCTGTCTCTGCCTCTGCCTCTGCCTCTGCCTCTGTCTCTGCCTCTGCTCTGTCTCTGTCTCTGTCTCTGTCTCTGTCTCTGCCTCTGCCTCTGCCTCTGTCTCTGCCTCTGCTCTGCCTCTGCCTCTGTCTCTGCTGCCTCTGCCTCTGCTCTGCTCTGCCTCTGCCTCTGCCTCTGCCTCTGCCTCTGCCTCTGCCTCTGCCTCTGCCTCTGCCTCTGCCTCTGTCTCTGTCTCTGTCTCTGCCTCTGCCTCTGCTCTGCCTCTGCTCTGCTCTGCCTCTGCCTCTGCCTCTGCTCTCCTCTGCTCTGCCTCTGCCTCTGCCTCTGTCTCTGTCTCTGTCTCTGCCTCTGCCTCTGCCTCTCTGTCTCTGCCTCTGCCTCTGCCTCTGTCTCTGTCTCTGCTCTGCCTCTGCCTCTGCTCTGCCTCTGTCTCTGCCTCTGTCTCTGTCTCTGCTCTGCCTCTGCCTCTGCCTCTGCTCTGCCTCTGCCTCTGCCTCTGCCTCTGTCTCTGTCTCTCTGTCTCTGTCTCTGCCTCTGCCTCTGCCTCTGCCTCTGTCTCTGCTCTGCCTCTGCCTCTGCCTCTGCCTCTGCCTCTGCCTCTGTCTCTGCCTCTGCCTCTGTCTGTCTCTGTCTCTGCCTCTGTCTCTGCCTCTGCCTCTGCCTCTGTCTCTGCCTCTGCCTCTGTCTCTGCCTCTGTCTCTGCTCTGTCTCTGCCTCTGCCTCTGTCTCTGCTCTGCCTCTGCCTCTCTGCCTCTGTCTCTGCTCTGCTCTGCCTCTGCCTCTGCCTCTGTCTCTGCCTCTGCCTCTGCTCTCTGCCTCTGCCTCTGCCTCTGCCTCTGTCTCTGCCTCTGTCTCTGCCTCTGCCTCTGCTCTGTCTCTGTCTCTGCTCTGCTCTGCTCTGTCTCTGCTCTGCCTCTGTCTCTGCCTCTGCCTCTGCCTCTGCTCTGTCTCTGTCTCTGCTCTGCTCTGCTCTGTCTCTGCCTCTGCCTCTGCCTCTGTCTCTGTCCTCTGTCTCTGTCTCTGTCTCTGCTCTGTCTCTGCCTCTGTCTCTGCCTCTGCCTCTGTCTCTGTCTCTGCCTCTGCCTCTGCTCTGCCTCTGTCTCTGCCTCTGCCTCTCTGCCTCTGCCTCTGTCTCTGCCTCTGCCTCTGCCTCTGCCTCTGTCTCTGTCTCTGCCTCTGTCTCTGCCTCTGTCTCTGCCTCTGCCTCTGTCTCTGCCTCTGTCTCTGTCTCTGCCTCTGTCTCTGTCTCTGCCTCTGCCCCTGCCTCTGCCCCTGCCTCTGCCTCTGCCTCTGCCTCTGTCTCTGCCTCTGTCTCTGTCTCTGCCTCTGTCTCTGCCTCTGTCTCTGTCTCTGCCTCTGCCTCTGCCTCTGTCTCTGCCTCTGCCTCTGCCTATGCCTCTGTCTCTGCCTCTGCCCCTGCCCCTGCCTCTGCTTCTGTCTCTGCCTCTGCCTCTGTCTCTGCCTCTGTCTCTGTCTCTGCCTCTGCCTCTGTCTCTGCCCCTGCCTCTGCCCCTGCCTCTGCTTCTGTCTCTGCCTCTGTCTCTGCCTCTGCCTCTGCCTCTGTCTCTGTCTCTGCCTCTGTCTCTGCCTCTGTCTCTGCCTCTGTCTCTGTCTCTGCCTCTGTCTCTGCCTCTGTCTCTGCCCCTGCCTCTGTCTCTGTCTCTGCCTCTGCCCCTGCCTCTGCCCCTGCCCCTGCCCCTGCCTCTGCCTCTGTCTCTGCCTCTGTCTCTGCCTCTGTCTCTGCCTCTGCCTCTGCCTCTGCCCCTGCCTCTGCCCCTGCCCCTGCCCCTGCCTCTGTCTCTGCCTCTGCCTCTGCCTCTGCCTCTGCCTCTGCCTCTGTCTCTGCCTCTGTCTCTGTCTCTGCCTCTGCCTCTGCCTCTGCCCCTGCCCCCCTGCCTCTGCTTCTGTCTCTGCCTCTGCCTCTGTCTCTGCCTCTGCCCCTGCCTCTGCCTCTGCCTCTGTCTCTGCCTCTGTCTCTGACTCTGCCTCTGCCTCTGTCTCTGCCCCTGCCTCTGCCCCTGCCTCTGCTTCTGTCTCTGCCTCTGTCTCTGCCTCTGCCTCTGCCTCTGTCTCTGTCTCTGTCTCTGCCTCTGCCTCTGTCTCTGTCTCTGTCTCTGCCTCTGTCTCTGCCTCTGTCTCTGCCCTTGCCTCTGTCTCTGTCTCTGCCTCTGCCCCTGCCTCTGCCCCTGCCCCTGCCTCTGCCTCTGCCTCTGCCTCTGTCTCTGCCTCTGTCTCTGTCTCTGCCTCTGCCTCTGCCTCTGCCCCTGCCTCTGCCTCTGCCTCTGCCTCTGTCTCTGCCTCTGTCTCTGTCTCTGCCTCTGCCTCTGCCTCTGCCTCTGCCCCTGCCCCTGCCTCTGCTTCTGTCTCTGCCTCTGCCTCTGTCTCTGCCTCTGTCTCTGCCTCTGCCTCTGTCTCTGCCTCTGTCTCTGCCTCTGTCTCTGCCTCTGCCTCTGTCTCTGCCTCTGCCCCTGCCCCTGCCTCTGCCTCTGCCTCTGTCTCTGCCTCTGTCTCTGCCCCTGCCTCTGTCTCTGCCTCTGTCTCTGCCTCTGTCTCTGCCTCTGCCTCTGTCTCTGCCTCTGCCTCTGTCTCTGCCTCTGCCCCTGCCCCTGCCTCTGCCTCTGCCTCTGTCTCTGCCTCTGTCTCTGCCCCTGCCTCTGTCTCTGCCTCTGCCCCTGCCCCTGCCTCTGCTTCTGTCTCTGCCTCTGCCTCTGTCTCTGTCTCTGCCTCTGTCTCTGTCTCTGCCTCTGCCTCTGCCTCTGCCTCTGCCCCTGCCCCTGCCTCTGCTTCTGTCTCTGCCTCTGTCTCTGCCTCTGTCTCTGCCTCTGCCTCTGTCTCTGCCTCTGCCCCTGCCCCTGCCTCTGCCTCTGCCTCTGTCTCTGCCTCTGTCTCTGCCCCTGCCTCTGTCTCTGTCTCTGCCCCTGCCTCTGCCCCTGCCCCTGCCTCTGCCTCTGCCTCTGCCTCTGTCTCTGCCTCTGTCTCTGCCTCTGCCTCTGTCTCTGCCCCTGCCTCTGCCCCTGCCTCTGTCTCTGCCTCTGTCTCTGCCTCTGCCTCTGCCTCTGTCTCTGCCTCTGCCTCTGCTTCTGTCTCTGCCTCTGCCTCTGTCTCTGCCTCTCTCTCTGCCTCTGTGTCTCTGTCTCAACCTCAAACCTGTCTCAAAAATATTTCCATCGACTTCCTCATGACCCAAAGACACAGATATCTCCGCTCTTTGCTTTGGTCAGTTTTCCCGTTTCCGCCCTTGGAGAAGGACTTTGCAGGCGGACTGAATATTAATGACATGTGTTTAATGACTGTGGGAGGCGTGCAGTGACTCACTCTCAAAATTCAGTTGATTTGAATTATTCAGCCCAAAGTTGTTAAAAGCATTTGTAACAGCAACATGACTTGTGAGAAAGCAAATATTGAGATTGAGCGTTGTCAATTCTGCAACGATGGAAACAAGAGCAGGTATTTAGTCCTAGTTTGTAGACCCTGGTGCTCAGTGAAATACCTTTAAATGGCTGCATGATGACAGTATTTATGTAGGATCAAAATGTAGATAGAATTGATAGAAGCTTATGATGAAATGCATCATTCTAATAACACAGAGTTGACAAGAGTAAATGAATATTGTTTTATGCCAGCCATTCTCAAAGGCTTTGATCGATCGGAGAATCCCTAAGGACCCCAGTAAAAAAATATAAATAAATAATTACTTATCATTGGGATGTTAAAAAGGTAAAGGAAACCAAAAATTAGAAAATGAAGTTGAATATTGTATAAAGTGGTATTTATGTAGTAATATTAATAATATTGCATTGTGAAAAGTCTTTTTGGACACTAAAATATGCTTCACATTAGTGTCTCTCTCCACTCTCTGGTTTCTCTCTAGTCTCTCTGGTCTGCTTTTCATCTCTCTCTCTCTGCTCTCTCTCTGATTTCTTTCTGCTCTCTCTCTGGGGTTTCTCTCTGGTCCTTCTCTCTGGTCTCTCTCCGGTCTCTCTCTCTGGACTCTCTCTTGATCTGGGCTCTCTCTGGTCTCTCCCTCTGGGCTCTCTCTCTGGTCTCTCTCTTGTCTCTCTCTGGTCTCTCTCTCTGGTATCTCTCTGGTTTCTTTCTCTGGTCTCTCTCTGGTCTCTCTCTCTAGTCTCTCTCTCCGGTCTCCCCCTCTGGTCTCTCTCTCCGGTCTCTCCCTCTGGTCTCCCCCTCTGGTCTCTCTCACTTCAGCCGTCGTGCGTACAGGTGGTCAGAAAAGTGTAGGTGAGGTAAGTTTACAGCCTTGTTTTGGGGATTTTTGCTTATGACAGGTAATTGTTTAGAACGTAACCCCAGCAATAAACAGTTCTCAATCACTTGCTATGCTGACATCCTTTTGGGGCCCCCTGGAAGTCTCTCTGAGGACCCCCATTGGCCCCCGGACCGCACTTTGGGAAGCAATAATTAATGGCTGTGTTTTCCTTGTGAAGTCCTTGTGGGAACCTCAAACATACAATCTTAAAACACAAAAGTAGTCCTTGCTTACCTCTTTACACACCTATAAATAATGAATTACTAACTGCAAAATTGACTTTGTGTGCGTTCATGTTTTATGGAAGTTTTCAAACTTTATGACAGCTGCAATAACCCAAACGGGCGAAATGCGAAGGTCATTTTGCCCCAAATAAAAGTGTTATTGCCGCTCATGCGCTGGTTGTTTTTAAGCACCGCATCTAACGGACGAGGGCGCTCTGAAGTCCCTGCAAAAAGTAATGAAAAATAAGTCAAAAATGCTCAAAAGTAGTAATAATAACTAGAGTTTTTGAAATGAGACTAAAATGGCTTCGTCCCATTGACAAATCTTGTTTTAAGACGGTCATAATGTGCTCCAGAAGATAAAAACTTGATTCAAGAAATTATCACCTCATATTTCATCAGGCTTTTTGTGTCAATCTTATAATGTATTCTAAATTTTAATTATAATTCTGAAATAATCCCTCTAAGTTTCACATTTTTTGCCGCTTGTACAAAACTTAAAAAATCTTGTATACATGTTTAAATAAAAATCTCTACTACATACTAAAACTGGTTAAAATAAGTGAAATGCATAAAAAAAAAATGCTAATTATTGCTAGTAAACCATGGGACCATGGGACCATGTTGCCATTTGGGTTGTAAAGAACATCAACCAAGGGCCCCCGGCAGCCCTTTGAAACTTTACAGATGCAGACTGCAGATTCTGATTTACCAGAGAATACTCATTTTAAAACAAAGGAATTGTAACACAAACAAAAACGTATACAAATCTATCCTACTTCCGTTACCATAACGACTTCAGCTCTAGTCTGTTCATTAAGAAGACAATAGATTCATTTTATTCGTGTATCTCTCTAAATCACAGCAGCAGTTGTGTTGGGGGACTTTTAAGTTGTTGATTCAGCAACAACAAATCAGAGAATCAAACACAAAATATATATTGCTACTTCAAAATGTCCATTTTGTGTACTTATAATCCATCCAATTATGTATATAATTCAAACACACACACAATATATCACACACTAATTAATTGAAATAGTGCTTATTTAAATATATATATATTTCTATGTAAGTAACAGGAAGTCACAGACTAGGGAATTGCTTTGGCTCTCGGTGCAAACAAGTCAGAAGTATAGAGAATAGAATACGGCATAATAAGACATTTCTAAAGTATACAATTCTGTAAAATATAAAAATCCAAAGGTAAAATTGTTACAATTATTACTATATACAAGAGTCCAACAGCAACAGTAGGACTGAGGTTAGATCCAGGACTGAGGTTGTGCAGTGCAGGACTGAAGAGGCTCCCATCAGGCCGGGGGAGACCAGGCCACAGGTAAAAGTAGACAGATTCAGGGGTTCCATCATTATGCCATGAAACAGACAATATAACCCATGTGGAATTTCACCTTTTCACCTTTTCACCTTCTGTCCAATTCCACTCTTTACAACAGAAGAACCCTGGAGATGTTTGAGCACGAGCCAAAGATGAAGCACATCAGAATCAGAGAATAGACTCATTATCCACATTGTTCCATATGCCTCTGTCAGCGACACTGTGGGTTTCACGATGGCCACTTGAACGCACTTTGTCACGGCTCTGTTGAAACCACAGCAGCGCAAGGGATGGACCGACTTCTCCTCCCAGTGGCGATCCGCAGTACTGTGGTGATGAATGTTCACAACTGTGTGTTTACTAAATAAAAACACTATGAAAAAAGTAGTGTTCAGAACTAAAAGGGATTTTGTGGAAAACTACAACATGCTTAAAACACCTTCAGTGCATTGATCTTTAAAACAGAACAAGAGGAACAGTTGAAATCTGGGAGCAGTAAATCTGACAGCTTTTTTTTGATATATTTATTTTGTATTTTTTCTAAATAATTAGATGTGCCGTCGCACATCATAGATGTTTAGATTGCATAGATGTTTAGATTGCATAGATGTTTAGATTGCATAGACGTTTAGATTGCATAGATGTAAGACGGTTTGCTGGAATACTTTTGGATTATTTTTATGTTTGAAAAGTGAAAAGTTTTCGCTTTAACAAAATTTCAAATAGAGCCATAACTTAAGGTCCAAATGATAGCAACACACTGTATACTTGCAGCAGTTAGGATTTAGCCTTTCAATAAACTGTTTTGCTGCATTTCAGTGATATTCACCAGTGTTAGCTCTGCCATCGGCTCCTGTCTGACCTTCTGCACAAACAGGTTCCAGGTCGCAGTCTGAGGTCTCAGTCCCATAAACTACTGCAGACCACTGGTGATCGAGCTTTTGAGTCGGCGGCACCAAAGCTGGATCTGAGAACCCTGGAATCCACAAAGTAATTCAAGCCACATCTAAAATGTTGAGACTTTGGTCACCTGCAGTCTGTTAGCACTGGGACTGTATTTTATTACTGTGTATTTAATGTGTTATTTTTATCTGTCTCATTTTAACTTGTGGAGTGCCTTGTTCAATTAAATCCAATTCAGTTTGTTTCG